CACATAGCCCAGTGCAGCTTTTGCTTTCAATATGAAACAGATTGTAAGAACAGAGTTCATAACCCTTTGCTGGTCCTGTCCCCGGTCATGTCTCCACTATGCATGTACTTTTTCAACAGGAAGTGTGCTTTTCATCCCCAGAGCCAGCAATTAGGGACACATCACTTCCTTCTCTCATAAAGCAGGCACAGCCAAGGTCAATGCCATCAGCATCCAGGATGCAGACAACTGAGGCTTCATCACTAGGGAGAAGGCAGGAGGGAATGGCTCTCACAAACCCAGTTAAAGAAACCAGCTCTTCAATCCGCAAACGTTTGAGACAGCATCTGGAATTTAATTTCAAAATAGCTGCTGAGCAACTTAAGCTTTGTGTCCAAGAGAGGACACAAACTTGAAAAGAACAGCTTTCTTGTTTCTCTTTGCTTCTGGTCACGGATATTATCTGAACACTCTTTCTTTGCCTTCCCCCCCCCCCCCCCCCCAGTTGCTGTTGAGCTGATTTTGGCTCCTGGTGAACCTGTGTGTCAGTGTAGAACTGCGCTTCAAACAGGTTTTTGTGGCTGAGTTGGAAGCAGATCATTAGGCTTTTTTTCTGAGATGTCTTTGGTAAACTTGAACCTCCAACCTTTTGGTCAGCAGCTGAGTGCATGAACTGTTTCACTGCCTAGGGATTCTAATCACTTTTTTTAGGAGTCAACTTTTTTCTTATTTAAAACCCCCCAACATCAACATAAAATACTGTACAGAAAATGAAATTAAACACTATTTTTATAACAGACAATCCTCCAAATTCAAATAAATAATCAGTACCCAAAATAGTTTCTAAAAAATGACCTACAGTGGATACGACACCAGGTAATAGCAGGTCCACTGCCGGGATAAGAAAGACTATTGTTTCCATAAACTCTTTAACCACACAAAGGGAAATTACTAAGAGGAGGAGGAGGTATACATGATTCTTAAAAATTCAAGTTCATGGTTGTAAAAAGAGAAAGAGCCACATAGGAACAGCCATATCTGACCTTTATAAAATTCACAAAAGGGGAACCGTCCCCATCAACAATACGAATTACACAAAACCAATTCCCATTAGGTCAGACTTGCCCCCCCCACCAACCTTTTGGTTCATCTCAACATCAATCTTACTGCTTTTGGGTCCAATATTCGATGCGGTGGCTCACAGACCACAGAGATTCATACTGGGGATGTCAGAAGGTTATAATCCAGATTAATAACACAATACAGTCAACATAGCTCCTGAAATGTGCTGATATTTACTGGGCTTTTACGATACACTCAGGATTCTTCTGGGCATTATTTGCTTGTATTATTTCAGTTGATTCCTCAGGTATTTCTTTGTGGTAGATGCTTGATTCTCTAACTACCAAATATGGTCCTGTGTCAGTACTTGAGAAATTGCTGCGCTACAAAGCTAAGAGAATGAAAGCCTTTTTTAGGATTTAAGGAAAACACTATGGGTAATGAAGAGAAGAAACAGGGGATACTTTTCTCCAGTAAGGGAGCTCTGGTGACCTAGTGGGTAGGGAGCAGAGGTGCTAACCTAAAGACGGGCAGTTCAAATTTACCAGAAGCTCCTCGGAAGAGAGATGGGTAATCATCTACTGTGTGAGTTACAGTCTCTGAAAACCTTCTGGACGGTGTCCTATGAGTTGGCTCTGATTTGATGACAATGAGGTTTGTTCCTTTCCTCTAATAGTTTATGAAAACTAACAGTTGGAATGATTTGTTCAAAATTATATACTGGATACATTTTAAATATTCTTATACATAATTAAACTCTGAGATCAGATTGCTAGATTATTATTTAAAAAGATATGAAGTAAATATAACAAAATGGTAAAATTTGTTCAGTCTTAAGAGTAGAGAACAAAGAATATCTGTGACACTGTTCTCTGCATTTTCCTCTATCTTTACATTTCCTAATTTTAAAAAAAATGTTTCTTCTACCCATTCACTTTTCAGTTACAAACCAGGTACATCAATCTTCCCATAAATGAGATTGCTAATGCCCGAGGCTACACTTACTTTCTTTTATATTTTATAATAAGGCAAAACAGATGATATTTCACATAGTAAATAACACATGTATAAAATTCTCTAGAGGTTTGGCAGTTTCTTCATAACCAAATTCTTCCCATAATGGACTAGAGTCTATAAATCTTAAAATAATGAAAAGTTTAACGACAAAACAAAACAAAAACTTTTTTTAAGTGGGGTAGGGATAATAAGGACTACTCCACTTCATTCTCAAAAAGGCCTTGTTAACAAAATACACATAAGCAATTACATAAAACTTTTTTCACCCTTTGGCCCAGAATATAAATATGTGATGTATTTCTCTTTATGTAAATGGTAGTACAATGACATCTTTTTCCATGAAAATCCAAAGGAGAATGGATTCACTTTAAATTTACAACTGATTTTTAGGGCCTATCTAAATGTGGTAGATTCTACCTTTAAATTATATTTTTCTAGTCCCATAGGGAGACCTGGTGGTAGACCTGGTTAAGCACTTGGCTCTAACTAGAAGCCCACCAGTCACTCCAGTCAGAAGCATGTGGCCATCTGCTTTCACAAAGAGTCCAGTGTTGGAAATCCCACAGGCCAGTTCTAATCTGTCCTGTGTGGTTACTATGAGTTGCAACTAACTTGCTGGCAACACGTTTGGGTTTGGATCCAGTTCTTTCCCCTCAGCTCTCAGGGAACTACCTGCCTACGCTGTTGCCACAGACACTGTATTTATACTTGGCTTAGCTCCTGCAATGATCTCGCCACACTTTCACACTGCCCTGCTTCATTCTTGACCCATGTGGCATGATATACATGCTTTTAGGCTCTCTGGGCATAGAAGAGAACTTTAAGGCAGCTAACTCCAATGTTGTGTTTCTCTGGTGATTCAAATCCACCAGTGGCTCTTTGAAAGAAAGATGGGCAACCTCATCCCCAGGTGAGTCAGCACCTTGGAAACCCAATGGAGGGCCAGCTGTGAGTCCGTTCTGACTCATTCAGGATGAATTTGAATTGATACATATCCACCCATAGATCCCAAATGCACCTGACCCTTCACAATCTGGTCTCTTGCCCAGCATTTCCTTCTTTAACAAGCGCAGTCCTATACTGTGGCTCCATGGATCTCTCAGAGCTCCTGACACGACAGATCTCTCTCCATTTATATGCCTCTATGAGGCAGGTTCTCTGACACAGATTTATCCCTGAAACATCCTCTTAGAGGTCTTTTCCCAGCAAGTAACCTATCACACCACATCCCTGGACTAACCTGGGCTTGGCAACGGACTTATTAGACAGACGTGGTTGTCAAGCTGCCAAGAGTGAAGCATATTCAAATTCAGAACACTCTTCTTCTCACTTGGCTTTAGTCTGTGTGCACTTTACTAGCAGCATGGAGAAGTGAAATATGCTTAAAGGCAGGCCTTAGTCCCCTGAGGTGCAGTAACACTTTGACACATGGTTTTGCTCACCCCCCACTTAGAGCTCATACCCCACTGGGTTTTGGGGATCAGGAAGTAATGTATCTCCAGAGAACCCAGAGTTTACTTCCATTGCTCTGCTGTCACTGCCCTACCTACCTTGGATGTGAAGTAATTTGAGGGAAAAGACAGCCCCTGTTTGTAGGTACCTCCAGAACCCAGCACTAGGGCTTAACACAGGCTTCCCAGTAGGAGCATAAAAAAATACTTCTGGAATCAGTACAGGTGGAGGTGTCCCGAAAATCCACCAAGGAGAACGCTGAGGCAGAAGGCAGTAAGTACACTTAAAGAACTGGGACGGAAGCCCGTGCCTCGAGGTTCCTATCCCTGTCACGTGTGGGCATTAGACGCCAAAAGATAATGTTCCAAAGACCAGACAACCTAGTACAACAGAGGCATGGACTGACCAGGAGAAGTAAACCTTCTGAGTGACAGCTTCCCCTCTGACAAACAAAGAATGACCTTTAAATAGAGTGGGTCTCTTCATAGCTGACATCCAAGCAGATATATGCACACCCATGTT